TGCCTCTCCCGTTTGGCTTTGCTGTTGCCTCTTTTTCTGTTCAGTCCCCGCACGTCCCTGCCACATCCAGGGGTTTCCAGGGGCAGAAGTGGGAAGCGTGTATTCTGTTCTTTACACCTGGGAGCCTGGTACAAGCACCTGCGAAGTGCCCCCTGACTGCCTTTCGAGAACCTGAGCCCCAGCGTGAGGGGTCCAGTGCTCGGGGCCCCTGAGGCTCCTCCTTCTGTGTGTTCAGCCCTGGGTGGGCACCTGGCACAAGGACCCTGGCTGAAGCGTGGAGGCCTGGGCCACGTGTTGGGCGAGCTCCGTAGACAGAAGGCCCCGGCCAGCCTTTCTCAGGAATCTCGGTGGGAGGGGCCCACACCGGACACACACGAGGCCCTCGGGTAGTACATTTTGAATCCGGGAATGCAGAGGCCTCCAGGTCGGACCTAGGACTCGTCCCTCCTGAAGCTCCAAGCTTCCCGGGTGGGGCGGCGCTGGGTCTGCGGGGGCAGCCCGGATGAGGCCGGCCGGCCCTGGGACGGTGAGGACGGACAACCAGAAGGGGCACTGCTCCCTCCCCACCCCCTGCCCCGTACCGGGCTGGCTCTTCAGTCCTGGACCAGCCACGTGGAGGATGGACGTTCGGCACGGATGAGTGACAGTAAGAGCTGCCTGGGCCTGGATGCCACGTGGGTCAGTGTGTGCAGTGCACGCTGGCCTAAGTGCCAGGCTGCCCGGCCCAAGCACGGCCAGTTCACGACAAGATGAGGGAGGCAGGGGTGATGAGCCGCAGGCCTCCAGGCTTCAGGCAGAGCTGGGCACTCCTCCGTCCCTCCGGGGCCTAAGGGAGCCCCCCGGGTGCCCGTCTGCACCTCGCTGCTGCACACTCCCAGGTCCAGGACACCTGGGCCTGGGCGGAATTTGGACTTCCTGGGGCAAAGGTGATCAGAGGCAGCTCCTGGGAAAGCTCTTCTGTTGTCATGAATTTCCACGACATCCAAGGTCCTGGAGTAGATTTGGTACAGACACCCCCCAGAACACCCCTTGCCCCCCACAGTGGTGTGTCCACGCAGCACAGAATTAAAACGTAGGACTTAATTGTTCATCTGAGAGACGGATTCAACCAGCTTGTTTGTTCTGGTCTAGGAGGTGCTCATTATAGCAGCTACTGTGGAGCGTCTTTAACACAGAGGCACTGCACGTGGCAGATGGAGCACGTATCCGACTGTCCTGAGTGCCACTAAAGCCCGGGCGCCGCCCCAGCTGCTCACATCTGGACAGAAGCTGAGGGTGGGCAGGACGGCGCTCCACTCGCGGGCGCCTCATGCCTACCTGGGGCCTGGCGTTGCCCGGTCAGCCCTGCTCTAAGGGGCCGCGAGGGGGCCAAGGAGGGGATGTTGTTTGCGACCTTGGGGAGGGCCTGTGATGTCCACCTGCTCAACTTGCCCGGCGCCGACCAACGTCACAGGCAGCCCTCGGAACAGGGATCACGGGAGCCACAGACGCCAGGTCCGCCCCGCTGCCCTGAGTACCTCCGGGATGCCGGGTCCCCAGCTCTTCACTGCAACCTGTCCTGGTACCCGCGTGACCTCATCTGTGACCCTGTGTGCGCTCCACGAAGCAGCCTTCACTCTCAAGACACAGATGCTCCCGGATGTTTTTATTCTGTTTCTTCCTCCTTCTTTTAAACGCTGATCATGAGCCACTAAATTAATTTCACAACCCACTAACGGGGTGACGACCTGCACTTTGAAAAGAGGTGATCTAGGAAATGCAAACGTCAGCATGTACCTGGGGTCTGGGCTCTGCTAATCCATTAATCAATTTATCACATGGATGTACGGGAGCCCCGAATGAGGGACCAGGGCTGGCGGGACCACAAGGCCTGCGCCTGCCCTCAGGCAGCTCATGGTTTGCTGGGGACACAGAGAAGGGAGCAGCCACGGCCCATGCAGAGAAGGGGGTGGGGCGTGACCAGGCGTGGGGCGGGGGTGACAGCCACTTCCGGACGTGGCCCTGGCTGCAGGGGCGCTGGGCTGAGACCCTGGCACCTGGGGTAAATTAGCAGTCACGTGGCCAAGCAATCCTGAGGTGTCTTACAGCCCCCCTCACGGAAAACCAATTTATGCTCAAACGTGAAACCCCACAGTGCTAATCTGCCGTCTGTAAGAGGCCCGAGGTGCAATCGTGGAAGGGGATCACGTGCTCCAATTATAAGGTGTTTGGGCCAAGAGCTCAAGTAAGCTTTTAAGAAGCTTTGAAAATAGGTTTCCGCACGCAGGCCAGGGTCACCTCTGCAGACACTTGGGACAATGACAGAGCTCGCTGGTCCCCTAGGGTCATCTCAGAGGGATCTGCCAACCCAAGCACCCGGGGCCCATTTCCCCGGTGGGGATGTGACCCTGCGGGCCAGCACACAGGCGGGAGGGCACTGTCACGGAACACGTCTGGCCACTCGGCCGTGTCTCCGAGTGTGAGCGCCTCCCGCCGGGGGAGTGAAGGGGCCCTGAGCGGGTGCACCCCTCCCTGACCTGCCCCAGGTGTGGCAGGGCCTTCCTGCCTGGACCGTGGGCTTCTCCTGATGCACCTGTTCCAGCACGAGGCACTCTCCAGGGTGGGCTGATCTCAGGATGCGCGCATCAGAGACTCTGTCTTCTCACCTGGAAGACCCATGGGCCTTCTGTAGCGCCAAGGCCGCGTCTGAGTTGGGCTGACCCGGCACCTCCACGGCTCACTTACCCCCGGCCGTGGCCTCCCTCAGCCACCCCAGCTGCACTTTTCACGGCTGGAAACCCGAGGTGATGGTTCTGAGCTCCGAGACCTGTGAGCCCGAAGGGAACGACTGTCTGCACCGTCTCAGCAAAGGTCTTAGAGCACCTACGTAAGGACCTGAGGCTGCGCTTGCAGGGAGAGGGTGCTAGGGCTGCTGAAGGAGCGCCCTTTGCACGTAGAGGCCCCCCAGAACCTCCGAGGTGCGGGGGCGCCGGGAGCTGGGATGCGCTCGGGGGCTTGACGGGAGGAGATGCCCCGATTCACCGTGAGGAGACTGAGGGGTGCTGCCTGGGGCCACGTGACCTGGAGGTCAGGCCTGACCCCGAAGCCATGCACAGCCAGGCCCGCCATGGAGGGCGGGTGGCCCGGAGCCCTCTCCAAGCCTCACCTCCTGTGGGTGTTCATTCAAAAGACCCCCGACGCAGCGCCTCCCGCACCAGGGCTGGCCCGGGCCCTCTGCACAGCCACACGCTGACCCCGGGCCCCACGGATCTGGGGGCAGTGGCCCCTGGGGTCTGCTTGTCCCCCAGTCTCCACCTTTTGGGAAACCTGGAAAGGTCAGCTGCTTCCTAGATGGTCGGGGAGGCAGCGGCCCCACCTCAGAGGCCCTTCTGCTCCTGGAGCAGTGAGGCAGGTGGCAGGTGGTGAGCTGGCACACCTGCACACTTGCCAGGTCTGACGACAGATCCCTCGCTTCCGTGCTGCACGTGCATGAACAACCACGGCCGATGCTCAGACAAGCGCACAGCTGCGGCTTCAACGACTGGAGGCCTGGGGGCGCTTGCTGCAGCCCAGTCCAACGCTCCTCGTGGGCGGCCCTGCTTGGCACGGGCCCCCAGGCCTGCAAGGGGAGGCTGCAGGCAGGACCCCACTGCCTGAACTCCCGCCAACACAAGAATCCTCCGAGACATCTGATGGGCTGCCTGGGTGTAGCCGGGGGCCCGCGTCTCCGCTTGACAGGCCCGTCCTCAGAATGTGCCCCCAGAGGCCTGGCTTGTCCCCACCCGACCTCCCTGCCGGCGATGGGACCAGGGCGTCCGTGTCTCATCTCGGAGCAGCTACGCCTAATTGGCCTCTTAAGGACGTTGCTGAAACAGCCCATCTGACTTCTCCAGTGGAGGCTGCAAGGGCAGGAAGGGTGGGTTTTCCTCTAGACTAATTCCTGAGGGGCCGTGGCCCCTGCTTCTCTGCCATGGATGCCAGGGGAGAACTTCCAGATCCCTCCACAAGAAACCAGACTTCCCTGGCATAACGTCCCCCAGCATCGAGGCGGGAATTTTGGCCAGGAGCCATAGCCCACCCCAGTCCTCAGCTGCCTACGTCAACCTCACAAGGAAGAGCCCGGATGAGGGGTGAAAATTGGCTGGCGGAGTCCAACACTGTGCGGGCCCAGCATATGGAGCACCAGAGTCCCCGTGGCCCTGGCCGGGCAGCCCCGCTCCCCTGGTCCACACCATCCCAGCCTGTGCTTAATGAGTTTTCCTGTGGGGAAGGAATCTCAGAGCAAACAGCCCCAAAGCCACTTTGCCGCCCTCTGCCTCCCAGCCTGCGGGAGACCAGCCTGGGGAGCCCAGAGTCCACAACTGTCCCTCTCGGTGGGATCCAGGAGGGACAGAGGCACCCTCAGGGCCTCTCGGGGTCTGTGCTCCAAACAGCCACCATGACTACCTGGGGGGCGAGGGGATGGCCTGGATGAGGCCCACGGCCCCTCCCCAATCCTTTTTCTTTAAAGGCCCTTCGTTCTGAAGCCCTTCTGTGGGTTCTAACCTTCCCTCCAGCCTGGAGCTGGGAGTCCATCGCCCAGAAGCAGGACAGCTTCACCGGCAATCTCGTGTGAGCTGACCGGCCGGGAGGGGGTTCTGTCCAGCCTCTCGGGCCGCTGGGCACTCAGTGACCGTGTGATGGGTCTGAGCAGCCCGGGAACAGACTGATCCGGCCGCAGAGCAGGGAGGTTCTGGAGGAGGCGGGGCTGGCAGCCTGTGTGTCCGTCCTGTCATCGCGTGTGTGGGGTGCACCCCGCCCCAGTGCGCTCTGCTGCCTCAGGCTCCCGCAACCCCCGCATCTGTCCGTCCTGTCATCGCGCGTGTGGGGTGCACCCTGGCCCAGTGCGCTCTGCTGCCTGAGGCCCCCGCACCCCCCGCATCTGTCTGTCCTGTCATCGCGCGTGTCGGGTGCACCCCGGCCCAGTGCGCTCTGCTGCCTGAGGCCCCCGCACCCCCACACAGCCAGCGCCGCGCACCTACCGTGGTGGTCTTTATCCGCCCGCCGGGCTGCGTGCACGTCCAGCCTGACCGGTTGATCAACAAGTCACAGCCTTCCCCCTCCAGACAAGGGAGCATGTCACACCACTGCTTTGTTTTGATGATTCGTGCTGCGGAGAGAAGAGAGAGCTGTCAGCGCTGGCCTGGGGCATGAGCCGTACCTACGCAGCCCGATTCCCGGCACTGGAATTCAGGGAGGGGACGGTCCAGTGGGCAGCGCCTGGTGTCAATCAGGGTGCCCTGGCCAGACTGCTGCCCCCTCCCTGGCCTCGCGGTCAATTGCTCACTGCCCACCACCAGCTCTGCCATTGGCCACTCAGTAAGTAGTGACTGAGGGCGCTGGGGACAGTTTCAAGGACCTCCCTTCCCAGAGGCAACAATGTATTTCTCTCCTGTGTCTGGAATCTGCGTGAGAGCCAGGAAAGACAGCAGCGGGCGGGCGTGGGGGAGGTCTCCCGGCCAGGAACCCCCACCGATGCGGTGGGGACTGCCCGACTGTAGGCCGGAATCCTGGGGCCTACGTGGGTGCTGGGAGGGAGGTGGGCAGGGGGAGGGTGGGGACTCCTGGCAGATCATATGGAGGCCACGGCCCTCCAGGGGCCTCATCCACAAAGGGGAGCCCCCATCCCCGAGGACGTCCCAGGGCTGGTGACATCAGGACTCGAGTCCTTGTCATTGTCAGATGGGGTGGGGAAGGTAGACCCCGTGGCAGCTAAGCACTGATGACTCCAAACCCACGCTTCCAGGCAGAAGGGGTCTGTGTCTCTCTCTTCCTGGGAAACCCACCACCTTTCTGTGGCAGTGGCGGGAGGGCCTGGGAGCCCATATGTGACGGAGACCCTGGAAGGAGGGACTTTGTGATGGAGAGAACACTGACTGTATGCATGGAACTGTTCAAGGAACCTGGGAACTACGGGTCATTTTGAAATAGGACAGAGTGATGCGCGTCCTTTTTAAAGCAGGTTCGACTGCTTTGGTGGCTGCAGCGGCCCCCATGGCCCCACCCTGCTCTTCCTGCATCTTGAAATTATTAATAACTTTTAAAGGAACCCAGCATTTCCACTTTGCATGCGGGCCGCCACTCACGCCACCAGTCCTGCAGGCAGTGACTGTCCCTACAAAGGCGATGGGGGACCTGGGAGGGGCCTCACCCCATGGGGGCCTGGTAACTCAGTGAGTCTTAACAAAGGGTGGGCTGGGAGGTGGTCTGGAAAACAGACAAGGATGGCATCCCAGGTGACCTCTTGATGCTAATTCTGACAAACAAGTGGGAGCTGCCTGAGCACAGCGGGGAGTGTCCTGGGATCGATTGGTGGTGCCTGCCAAGGGCACAGCAGAGGGCCCTGTGGGTAGTGTGTTGCTCACCTGGACCCACACCAAGCATCTCTCTACCCACAGCCAGCTGGTCATCCTGAGACCGGCTCCTTTCTAGGCCGAGCTACGGACGGAGCTGTGACCCCCAACCCCTGTAGTCGCAGGATGAAGTCCTGACCCCAGAGTGGCTGGACTTGGAAACAGGGCCTTTACAGAAGTACCTGAGGTTAAATGAGGTCATAAGGGTGGGGCCTCACCCCACAGCATTGGTGCCCTTATAGGAACTGACCTCAGAGAGCTCAGCCTCTCCCACGTGGGACGCAGTGCAGGCGACCGTCTGTGGGCCAGGAGGGGGTCCCCACCAGTCAGCCGCACCTGCATTGCAGCCTCCTCGTCTCTGGACTTGGAGAAAATAAATTTCAGCTGTTCGAGACCTACAGCCTATGGTGCTTTGTGACCGCAGCCTGAGCTAAGACAGCCCGGGAGACGTCACAGCGCGGAAATGCCCCACAGCCAACTGAGGTCAGAGTGGAAAAACACTCCAGCTGAGCATCAGCGTGGTTCCCACAGAAGAGGAGACGCGGTTCTGCTCTCACGGCAGGGGGGGGGGGGGGGGCGTCTCGCTGCCCAGAAACGTCTCTAGGGCACGGCAGGCCCGGCTCCAGCCGCACCTCGCGCTCCACATCGTCCTGCCAGGACCCGCAGGCCACAGGCGGCTGCATTCCCCAGCACATCCCCTCGGGACTCTTTTCCTCATCTGCTCATCATTCCCGCATAAGTCCCCGGAGCAGCCCCGTGTCCCTGGTGCACCATTTTGGTGACAGTAAATGACAACACAAAAACCTCGTCGCACACCAACAAATGCAAACCGTAAACCCATGACGCAGCAACAGGATTGAAATACACACCCCGCCAATCCCCGGAAACGCTATGTGCATGGCTTAGAGACGGTCGTGACGAATTAAATAAGGAAGGGAGGGTTTCTCTGGGGTCATCCGGGACAGACGGCGTGGGAGGAGGCTCAAGAGTGGCTAAAAGAAATCTGGACCTGTGCTCCTGTCTGTCTCCTGGGCCGCACCCAGGGAAATGCTGTCAGCGTACTGTGCCTGTCACCACGGGGCGGGGGGACCCAGACCCCAGCTGTGCCCAGGGAGCGGAGCCAAGAGCAGGAACGTGGCCTTCTCAGGCGACAGACGTGCCCTCAGCTGCAAGAGGCAAATGCAGTTCTGGAGGCAGGGAGGCCGAGGCGAGGCCCCATTCAGAGAGACTGGAGCCCAGAAGGGCATTGGCCCAGACCAGCGGGGCAGGGCAGCATGGGCCACGCCAGAGGCCTGGGCTCTCACGGCAGGTGTGGGGGATGGGCCGTCTCGCTGCCCAGAAACGTCTCTAGGGCACGGCAGGCCCGGCTCCAGCCGCACCTCGCGCTCCACATCGTCCTGCCAGGACCCGCAGGCCACAGGCGGCTGCATTCCCCAGCACATCCCCTCGGGACTCTTTTCCTCATCTGCTCATCATTCCCGCATAAGTCCCCGGAGCAGCCCCGTGTCCCTGGTGCACCATTTTGGTGACAGTAAATGACAACACAAAAACCTCGTCGCACACCAACAAATGCAAACCGTAAACCCATGACGCAGCAACAGGATTGAAATACACACCCCGCCAATCCCCGGAAACGCTATGTGCATGGCTTAGAGACGGTCGTGACGAATTAAATAAGGAAGGGAGGGTTTCTCTGGGGTCATCCGGGACAGACGGCGTGGGAGGAGGCTCAAGAGTGGCTAAAAGAAATCTGGACCTGTGCTCCTGTCTGTCTCCTGGGCCGCACCCAGGGAAATGCTGTCAGCGTACTGTGCCTGTCACCACGGGGCGGGGGGACCCAGACCCCAGCTGTGCCCAGGGAGCGGAGCCAAGAGCAGGAACGTGGCCTTCTCAGGCGACAGACGTGCCCTCAGCTGCAAGAGGCAAATGCAGTTCTGGAGGCAGGGAGGCCGAGGCGAGGCCCCATTCAGAGAGACTGGAGCCCAGAAGGGCATTGGCCCAGACCAGCGGGGCAGGGCAGCATGGGCCACGCCAGAGGCCTGGTCCTGATACCCACACTTCCCTGGCTAGCCTGCAGGACCAGAAAACAGAGGAGGGATGGGTTCAGTCCTGCACTGCTGTGCCAGCAGAGGACCTCGAGCCAGCGGTGCTTCCCGTGGGCTCCGTCCTGCCCGGGAGGCTTGGTGACCAAGGGGACGGAGAAGAAGCTGCAAGCGCGGCCCCTGTGGCCCAGGGTTGGGCCAGAGTCCACGTGTGAACCACACGCCCTTCATGGTCGGTGAGGACAGAAGCCACTCTCGGCCGCCGACCATGGGGCTGTAGACGGTAGACGGACACTGGCAGAGCCCGAGCCAGCCTCCAAGCCTCCAAGGGGCTGGGACGCCTGCTGGTCTCCTGAGGCTCCTCCTCCCAGGCCGCAGCTCAGCTGGGCCCCAGGCCCTCGGTCAAGGACACGGGCCCGCTTCCCTTCCCCAAGGCACAGGCGGTGTCACCAAGCCTTCATCCCCTCTGCTCTGTCCCACAAGCAGTACTAAGAGGCGGGGTGACGGCGGTGGGGGGACATGCAGCCCCCATTCTCCTGCGGGGAGCCCCACAAACATAACGAGACAACATTTGAGGGCCAGTCAGGAAGAGGGAGGAAAGCTTGAGGGGCAGCGTCCCAGGTGCCTTCAACAGGGGGAGGGGCATAGTTCCTGCCCACGCTGCAGCCACAGAGCCTGGCCACACACGTTTACACACACGCACACGTGTGCACGTGTACACATGCACAGGAACACAGAGGTCACACAGATGCCCACGTGCAGGCACATGCACACACGTAAACACCCACAAAGGCATGCACACCACACCCACACGTGTGAAACAGCACACATGTGTACACCACGGACATACACAGATATGCGCACACGTTCACAGGCACGCTCACTGCCATACTTGTGGGACCACTTCATGGGCTGACCTGGCACAGCAGGCATGTGGGTGTGTCTGCAAAACAAATAGGCAGACCTGCTGCCTGGCCACCGCCCTGTCCCCACCTGGTGCGGTGGCCTGGGCGTGCGGGTGCCGGCCCTGCGGAGGGCACTGGACAGCCAGGCTGATCACACAGTGCCTTTCGTTGGCCACGGGAGCTCGGCTCACTCAGCCCCGGCCCACTTCCTGCTGGGGGCGGACGGAGGCGCAGGGCTGGGCCACCACGTCCCAGGGACAAAGGGGCCTTTCGTGCCCACACGTCACCACCTCCTCTCCTCTGGCCCCAGCGTCGTGGCAGCTCCCAGCGGGGGAGGGCGTCGCCCAGGGCTGGGGGTGCTGAGGGGGCAGAGGGACGGCGACTGACGGCTGCGACCAGCGGTCCAGCCTGTTCCTGTGTCACAACCATGGGGCCCTCGGCCCATGTAGGCCAGGGGTGCGGATCTCCCGCTGGCCACGCGCCCAGTGCCTGTCCCGGGCCTCGGGGCCCAGCGTGGACCATCTCTGCAAGCTCGAGCCTTTGAAAGGAAGCGGAAGCCCTGGGACCTGGCCCGGCCCACATGCCTCTCCCTCCGCCTCGCACGTACACACGCCCACACGCCCACACATCCACCGTGTCCACGTGTGGACGTCGGCCTGCAGGGTCCCCATCTCTCCAGTGGCCAGTGCTGGGGCCTTGGGATGGAGAGGCTGGGTCCCTTCTCTCCGAATCCCCCTCTGCGAGGACACCCGGGTGATTCCAGGCCCGGAGGGGCTCATTCCCAGCTGCCGCCCCCCCAGAAGGAAGCCG